GAATGTACGCTTGCGAGAAAAAGAGCTAACTGTGTTAATGGGCCGATCATAGCTGCGATGCGGTAAAGTTTAAGTTAAAATAAGGGAGAGCAGATCATCAATACGGTTGCCTTTAACTGCAGTGCTTAGTCGAAGCTGCAAAGCGATATGGTGCATGTGGTGTGATATTGTGAATATATATGTGCGTGCATGTTCAGAGTATGAGAGAGGAGATCAAAGATTTAAGCGGTCGAGCAAAAGAGCGTACCGTATAAATACGGCTGCCTTTAACAGCATTCGAAGCTGCGAGGCGGGCCGGTGCAGAAGCTCTTTATTTTTTTGTATATGTTCGTGTGGCTGTGTGTTAGCATTAAAATATGGGATAACGGATCATGAATATACGCCTGCAAGAAGAAGATCTGCAATAATAAGTCAATCAGAGCTAAGTTTAAGTTAAAGCTGCAAGGCGAGATTGTGCTGTAATGTTGTATATGTGCGTGTGTGTGTGTGTGTTAGCATAGAAATGTGAGAGAACAGATCACGAATGTAAGCTCGCAAAAAGAGAAGCGGGCAGTATAAATACGGCTGCTGTTCAGAGCTGGGCTTAGTCGAAGCTGCGCAGCGGGCCGGTGCGGATGCTGTAATATTGCGATTGTGCATGTGTGTTGACATAAAATTAAGTGAGTGCAAATCACAAATGTTAGCTCTCAGGAATAAGAGCAAGCAGTATAAATACGGCTGCCGTGTAACAGCTGGGCTTAGTCGAAGCTGTGAGGCGGGCCGCTGCAGATGCTGTAATCTCATGTGAGTGTGTGTGTGTATGTGTGTGTGTTTACTAGTATGAAAAGGCAGATCAAGCAGAAGAGCCAGCAGTATAAATTGAGGAGGGCATGAGTCTTAAGTTGGACTCGAGCTGTTCAGGGACTTACATGGTGAGTGCACAAATTTCACATATATACATACAAATATATATACATATATACTATTCATATTCAAAGTGTACTTATGTATATTATTTCTGCCTGTTAACTTTCTCATTCAGTAAGCAAAAACTGCCATATGCAGCTATTGCTGACAGCGCCTTAAGCAGAAAAACAGAGGAAATTACATGTAGGAGTAGACAGGGGCGGGCGCAGGGGCAAAGGCAAATTGCTATCATTTCGTAAATCATTCTCATGGTATTTAGATAGTTTTTTTTGCTGCATTTCAGCCCAATTTGTAAGCAATTCGCATTTTGCATTTTACATTTTCTGCGCGCTGTTTTGTTTATGGCAATTGCGCTGCTAATTATGCCATGCCCAATGACTGGGAAATGGTTTAATGGCAATTGGTTGAATTTTGCTGCCATTGTTGCGATTTGCCCATTTACCGTTGCATGGCAAATGCACACGCCTTGTCACAAGCCGCCCACTGCCTGCCTCTTGCCGCAGGCCGCATGCATGGCGCCAATTAAAGACTCAATAAAATTCAATTGAACGCGCGCACATTTCGCATTGCAATCGACCTATCGACTAATTGAGCCAGCCATAAAATGACAGCAACTGCAGTTTGGCAGGAACCGTGGCCGGGGCCGCCATCAGACTTGTCAGAGTTGCCAGATATCCCAGATTTGCCCATGAACAATAAATATTGCCCGTTTGTTCGCCAATTGCATGTTGCATGCACGTTAATTGTCCTTGGGAACATGGCAACTACCAGGCGAATTCGTTCAATCAACCCAAAATTATGGTTGAATTGCCATTGTGCCTTTTATCAATAGTTGAGCGGAAATGTTGAAGATGAAAGTAGTATATTTAAAACGAATTCTACGCTTTCGATTTCCAAAGTAACCTGGAAACATTTGTACATCTACTTAAAGCATTTATAAAGACATGATCTTAAAATGCCAATGTTGTTTTAGCATAAGTCTTGCACGTTTGTCTCAAATACGAACCATGTATTTCTATATATAAAACTGTTCGTCCTCACTGATTGACAGACTGACTGATTAATTGTGATTGATGCACAGCCCAAACTATAAGAGCTAGGAAGCTGAAATATTCTCTGTAGTTATCTTATATGATGGAGCTTCATGGAAAAGGCGAATCAATGGTTGCATTGAGAAAACTTTACTTCCCTTACAATTAAATGTTTAACTTCTTTTCTACATAGCATATTTATTTTATTGGTTTCGACAATAGCTTTACTCAATTCATAATTATTTTTAATTGATTCTAGAACTCTTTACTGTAATCTACCCCGATAGCCCTCTGCCCCGTTCGCCCACTGACGCGCAATCCATTTGCCAAGTTTGCTGTCTCTTAGAAAATAAATTGAAAACAGTTAAAGCATTTCCACCCAAACAGTTGGATATAAGTAAATGTAACGCCAACAGTTTTTGCGCGTTAAGGGGAACGACAAATGAAAATTTCGGAAAACTGTGGTAAAAACAACAATGCTCATTTTCAGTATCATTGCACAACAAAATGCCCGGCAATTAATACAAATGATGCTGATGAGTAGGATAATGCTGCAGCAGAAGAAGAAGAAGCAAAATAAGTAGAAGAAGAAGCAGCAGTTGAAGCAGAACTTTTGAAGCTGCAACTTGCCAGTTGAAAGCTGAAAGCCAACGCCGTGTGTCAGGAGAAAGGGACAGAGAGGCTTGGATGCAGTGGCAAGTCAAGCTAAAGCTAAAAGAAAACGGGCACAGCATCCCTCACGGTTGTGTGTGTGTGTTGGTGTGCTGGTGTTGTTCCTGGTGCTGACGAGCGGAATGAGGCGTGTGCGGCAGCTGCAATCTCAACTTCGCATGCATGAAAAATGCAGCTCATCTACTTAATGCGCGCGACGTGCCGTGCAGCGTTGTTAGGGTCGCGGGCGCGGGCGCGGGTCCATGCCCAGGATGAGTCGGAAAACCAGTTTACAAGCAAAATGAATGCTATGAGCACCCCAGCTCCATGCCCACTCCCAGCCCTCTCTGACTATCTGTTTGTTTGCTTGCTTGTGCGGATGTGCTGCTGAGCATGCTCTTTTGGCTGCCTTGGCAAATTGCCGTTGCGGGTGTGTGTGTGTGTGTGTCTGTGTGTGGGTATTAACGCTTTATAAATTGTTAATTATAATGAGTCCAAGCATAGAGTCCAACAAACAGGGCTGCTTAAGTCCAACAATGTCGACATGATTTACATGAGAGCTTAGCATTTTATGCTGATGCGAATGCATTCAGCTAAATCCTTGGGCGAAGGAGTTGCGTTCTATTATGAAGAAGGTTACGCTATATTTGCCATCATATCTGTAGCTATATTTATATCTGCAGCAATTGCTGCCAGACCAGGTTGGTTGGTGCTCATCATGGCGACAGGATGTCGTTGGCGCTGCTTCCGCTCGCTTTTATCGCTATCGCTGCTGGCGCTAATCCGACTGACATTTTCGTTTTACACATGAGCAACGGCACACAACGAACAACTGTCATTGATAAAAATGAAGCACGCGCACGTTCAAATCCACAAACACACACACACACACGCTCACCCTCGATAAATACAGGCTGCTGCCACGCAGCGTGTCAGACGTGGCGTATGTGTAATGTGGCCCCTCAGTCCTGCACAACAATGCATAATTAGAATTACAACAATAATAATCATGATTATAATGACAGCTTGCCAACAGACACAAGCGCAGACAACAACATTGTCTACGTGTGTGTGAGTGTGTATGTGTGTGTGCACAATTTATATGCAGCTCAAGCAAAATGTTGCTCACAACTAAAAATTTCTGTTCATTTATAATGCAAGGCAAAATGCTGCAGAATTTGCACAATGTCTTTAAGTGCATACACGCACAGGCACACACACAGACACAACAGACACAACACTCTGCCACGTGCTTAAGACGATGATGATGATAGATTTGCTAACAATTGCCAGACTCAGCGCTGAGCGCACTCAGCTTCATGTGCGCTGCCATCTCCTGCCTGTGCCAATGGAACAATAGAAACTGGCAAAATGGCAACCACTCTCTAAGATGACAGGATGATGCTCTTTAGTTGAGGGCCTTTCATCTATTGAAGGTGCCCAAAGCAATCAATTTGTATACCCCAATCAAAATATGTGGTAATTATGATTATAATAAATCAAATTAGGTGCTACTCAATCTATGAACACGGATGAAAAGCTTAAATGATTAGCCTTAGTTAATATGAGCGCAGAGAATAGTTAACTTAAACATACTATTCAAATTCTACGATATTATTTAACCAGTTTGGATTATTACAATATGAACTAATAAGTCGAGATGATATACTTGGATATACTAATCATATTATACGATGTACGTTTCAGCTTTGGATAGGCTCGGATTATAATAAGAATACCTTAAAGGCTGCTGGTAAATTGCCGTGTGACTGACGCATTCAATATCTGTTCATTTGCTGTTAAGCCTTAGCTCATGTGACACAAACAGCTTACGAAAATCAAAATGCCTTCCATGCTGTTTGTCGAGAGTTTTAAAAAATTACGCCAACATATTGCCTGACATTGTTGTTGCCCCCGTTTAACTGTGTGCTTGTGTGCGTGTGTGTCACTTTGGCCACTTTGTGATAAATTTGTTGCCATTAAATGGCTGCAGAAACACCCACGCGATCAGCTGACAGTCGCCGCAAGCGTAGATAATTTTTCAAGCAGCAGCCGGCGGCGACTGCGTCGGCAGCAATCCTTGCCACAGCTTGGCAATTGTGAGGCTGTAAATGTTGCAGATCATTTTCGAGTGTGGCATATAGAAAATGAATGACAATATTTAAAAATTCCAGAGGCAGAGATTTAACTTTTATAAGTTTTATTAATGGCCAAATATGCGCTTCGATACGAAATTCTGCTGAATGTTTACAATCATTTTAAAACATTTTTGCAAGAAGACATTGGAAAATTGTTGTTAATACTATTATTATTGTTATTATTATTATTATTGTTGTTTTTGTGGTTGTTGTTGTTGTTGGCACATTTTGTTGGCTCCTTGAGCTGCTGCTGCTGGTCGCTGAATGCTGCTGTCTAATTGGGATTCAGCTTGAGTTCAGCGCTGGCCGCATTGAGGCGCGATTTGGTTGGCAAATTGCGCTCCTTCTTCTCCACGAAGATCTGATAATGGCCCTCGCCATAGCCAAAGCCGTGCATGGTCTTGCGCATGGCATCCGGTATGAGCTTGAAGCCTCCACGGCGCTCCACAAGCGGCGAGTCCGGGCAATCCCTCTGGCCCGGCTCGCAGTTGCAGTCGGGCTTCTGGCATGCTTTGTTCTCAATAATGCAGAACAACTGCAGGCACTTGCGCATGATATAAATCAATAGAAATATTATCAAATTGCTGGCAAATAGATGCTTGCGCGGCGCCAGAAATAACATCCTGGCCGATTATACACTGGGCACTGACTATCACAGTACGTGTGCAAAACTTTTACTTTTTCGCTAGACGTTGGCAGACAGAGGACCAAACAACGACTGAGTGAAGGATGCAGCCGGCGCTTGGCTATTTATAGGGGCCCCTACTCCCTGTTACCTAGCGCCTAGCACCTAGGTAATTTAGGGTGGACCAACAGGTCAGCCAGCATATGCAGCTAGGTACAGTTGGGCGCTAGTCCTTCAGATTAGGTAATCAGCCTGCCTGTCAGCCTGTCAGCCAGACGGCTCGAGCGTCTGGCCTGATGTGTTTATGAGTTTGTGGAAAATATTAACTCAAAAAAAATTGCTTTATCGCAGCAGCAGCGGTGCTTCTCGTGAAGTCTCAGATACAGTTGGCAAACACAAAGCGATACACACACACACACACACAATCACACACTCATATGACGGAAAAGTGAATTTCCCGTTTCGTCTTGGTGCCTGAGAAAAATAAGAAAAAAATTGCATAAATTCACAAATTGAATATAAATAAATTTCCTGCAGCCGAAACGCACAAAAAAGAGAACGAAATCAATATCTACGAGCACTCGATGCTGTGCATATGGCACGTGCCACGCCCACCACCTACTACATAAAAGAACGCCCAATCTTCAGACAATTCAATTTGAATTTGAGTCTTGACTGCAAGGAAAAAAACATGCCATAAGAATGAAAGGAAAGTGTGCTTCAGTCCTAAAGGCAGGACAAGCTACTAATCAATGACGCGACCGCTCATTAGGACGCCAACAAATTGAACTACCTTTTTGCACCTGTTTGAAAATGTTAGCCATCTACCGGTAGCTACGTCTTCCTCTCCCACTCACTGTCTCCCCGTCTGTCTAGACCAGCAAAAAGTTGCTGCAACTTTAAGGAAGACCTCCGCTTGAACACACTCGTTAGTTGCATCTGCTTTCGCCTGCTTTATTTTATTCCTCAATGATTATATATATATATATATATATATATATATATTTTATTTTATCTTTTTTTGCAATTGCCAGCTTTTTTGACCGCTGCAGCCCCAACAATTTGACTTCATTTGTTGACTTAATCATTTGATTGCGTTTTTCTGCATGCGCTGATTGAATTTCTGCGCCAGTTCGTGTTCAGCCTGGGGAAATCAAGCTAATTAGTTTAATTGATAGTTTTGGCTTGGCTAGCAGGATATTTCTTTTTTAAAAAAAAAAAAGATGAGTGCTGCAGCAAGAGAAAGTTTTGCGTCAGGATGTGTGGCCAGTTGTTGGCGGCTTATACACACACATGTGTTTGCTCGTGTGTGTTTGTGTGTGTGTGTGTAGTTTACTGTGTGTCAATGTGGGTTAAGGCCATTTGGAAAACTATTAGAAATTAAATCTAGCTTAAGGACCATTGGATTCACTTAAGTATCATGATTTGATTATATATTTCTAGTTAAAAATGAGAGGAAAATAATGTTATATCTAGAGACTTTTCATTTAAAGTTGGCATCAAGAATATCGAATTAAAAATTCCTATCTCGTAGACGCGCAAAGAGATTATACTTTTGAGCTCCATTAAAAAGGAACCCCAACTCAAATGTTAACTGCCCGTTTTATAGGTGCGCATAAAGTATATTTCAATCATCAATTATTTTATTATGATTTTACGGTTTTTGCTTGATTCCCGTTTAACTGTTTTTCAAAGTGGTTTACCACGTAGTCGGCAGCCAAGAGAGATACAATTGAATACTTGTGAGAATATAGATATCCCTTATGCGGGCTGAGTTAACATTTATGTGCCGCATGTGCCGGCATTTAAGATGAGTTTTTGATGAAAGCAAATATATTGGTTTCAATGGCGGCATATAAATCGTGGCATGCCACACGGCGCACGTGCCAAGCCGTGGGTCTGGAGGAGACCTCACGTCGTGCACTTTTGGCAGCTTTCATAAATATTTATGATATGGAGGCGCTCCGTTCCGCAGCTGTCCCTTGTTATAACACAGATATACATATACATATATATTTGTATTTGAAACGCAACAACAAAAGAAAGGTGCGTCACCTTAACCCGCCAGCGGCCTTGCTTTCGGGCCAATGCCAGGCTACTCAGACCCATAAATTATGCATTAAAAAGTTCAACGTTCAACTTGATTTTGATTGTGTTTTCTAGCGAAGTAATTGTGGCAGCAGCGCGTGCCGCAGTAAATCTGCAACGCCCCCACCCCCCCCTCCATGTTGCTACCTGTCGCCAAAGTTGGCTGCCTCAACAGCCACAGCCAGAGCAACAGTAACAGCAAGAGCAGCAGCAAGGCAGCTCAGCTATTTTTAAGGACATTATCCTGCAGTCACGCCGGCAAAACAAGCGGCAGTCGGATAGATAGAGGGCAAAATAAAATTTACTTTTAACGCGATTTGCATTTATTTCGCTTGGCGTAATCTTTGCCAGCCCCCGCTCTAGACTTGGCTGGCAACAAATTGTGCCTTTAATTCTATTGAAATTGCCGTTTCACTCGGCTGGCCAAATGTGCAGCCAGCTTTGGGGCCGAGCCATAATGCGTCCAAAACTGTCCGCTTACTTAGCAAACTGGTTGGTCGAGACCATTAGGCAAAGGTAACTGGAGCACATTGCGGATGGGCCTTTTGCAACAGCATCTGCATCCATCAGACCAAACAATTTCCGTCAAATTTCCATGCGCTGACAAAAGCTTTTCACTTGAGTGCCAGACAAAAGCCAGGTGCAGGACTAAAGGCACGGCTGCCACGGCAGGCTGGTTGAGAAATGTTAGCATAACGACAGCAAAAATTAAATCAATGCCAAGTCGAAGCTAAAATACGCTTTCCAAGTTTTTACAAAAGAGTTCTGGAGTTCATAAAAATGCTCTAGCCGCAAATGTGAAAGTAAAACGTCTTTACAATACAGATCAGAAGCTCTCTGTTTCTGAAAACAGATACCTATACACAAAATATATATAATAAAGTCTGAAAGTCTTTACACTAAAATTTTCTTGGCTTAAACTCTGTTCAGTCTCTGCTTGGAGCATTTTATACCACATGCCAAAGCTGGAATACTACAATTTCTGTCAGGGCTGTTAATGCTCAAAGCCAGTTAGGTGACTGTCATTGGTGTCGCGCCTGCCAGGCTCTTAACAGACATATTCAAAGTCATTACTTTGCATTTTACACCTGACAACAGGCTGGTAAAAAGCTGTGGCAGTAACAAAGGGGGCGCTGCTAACCAGAGCACGTCTTGTGGCTCTTGGCATAGATCCAGGCATATACATATATATTTTTATACCAAAGCCGCGCAAATGAAACTGAAGCGCGACAATGGCAACAATATGACTGAGGCAATTGTTATCGCAGCTGGGGGCTGGAAGTCATGACAGCCTGGACAGCTTTGGAACTGAGCCATTGCATTCGCAGTCGCCGCCGCAGTCGCAGCCGCAGCCACTTCACCCACTGGCGGTCATTAGCCAACTGTGCTGTGGCTGCAGCTGTGTTGGCTGGGCTGGCCAACTGCTGGTTCAATACTGTCGTCCTGCTGCTGTTCGGGGCTGTCATTCAAATGTCATTAGGACGAGGCTTCGGTCAAGCGTGGGCAGCAGCAGCAGCAGCAGGTGAGGAGCAAGCAGCATTCAGCATTCAGCATACAGCATGCGGCATGCGACGCAAGCCCGTTGCATGCTCGTAATTTCATTTCGAAAAACGAGCGCAAATTGCAGGATTGGCGTTCACAGGATGTGTACTTGCCTTCTCCTTCGCCAGCTGCATTTGATTAAATGCTGCCACGGCCTGCTTCTCTTGGGCCAACTTGCAGCGGCCACTTGTGCGAATCTGGGGCATTTTTTAATTGCATTGAAATTAAAACGTTTTGCATACTTCTCAGCTCCAGATTTATGATTGCAATTTGTTATTTATCACACATCCAACCGCCTCCGCCCAAAGCAATTTTCAATTTTCAATAGCAACAAGAAAGAATGGCCATGTCCGGCACGCCGAAGAATAAATACACTATGCGAGCAGATTTATAAGGCTGCTAAAATATTGTTTACAAAAACTAACCTTTAACATTCTTCCCATAAAGCTATATGATTTGGTAGTGCAGCATTTGAGAGCAGCATGGTGAGACTAAGAATCGCTTATTTGGTCACAATATCTTGGAAAAGAAAAAAAAATCCTTACAATAGCTTTATATCTGACCGATACTCTCTATTACAGCTATATGATGCAGTTTAAGAATATATACAGATATATAATATGTGTTCGAAGAAGTCTCCTTCTATATGTTACATGCTCCACGACTAAACTATAATACCCGCTATGAGGGTATAAAGAGTTTTATGCTATACGCTAGCTGCACTTTATTTTTTTTTTGTTGGTATCAAAAATCTAACCGCAACTGTTCAGTTTGGTTCTGTTTTTGTATGGGGGATTTTTTTTTGCACCGAGACTAGACAAACAAATTTATAGTGTTGTCGACATCGGGATTCGATGCTAATGGATTTTTGAATATGTTTATACAAGTGCCCCGCTGCGCTGATCTCCGTCAAAGAGCTTTATAAATATTTATTGATATCTATCTTTTTTTCGTATTGCCGTTTGATGCCGTGGCACAAAAACAGCCAACTGCAATTACAGTCAGTGGAAAACGCAATTGAATTCAATTATATTTATTGAAATGCCTTTGGTTTTTTCCAAATACAATACAATAATGTTGAATTTTCGCTTTTTTCATTCTTCCGTTTGGCCAGCAATGGAGTATTGTGCATGGGAAATACCGCTAACGAAATATTAAGTTGTGTGAATTGAATTCATTTCAAGATATTATCTGGTACATGAATTATTTTGTGGCCATTTAGCAGCTAAAAAGCAGCTAGAATAAATATACGAAAACAAATTGAATTAATTTTTTGCTGGTGACTTTGCAAATGTGCATCGTGATATTTGATTGACTTTGTAATATTATCGATTTCTTTTTTTTCGACATTTTACGATGTGTGCAAA